CTCCAGATGTGATCTTAGACCTTCAAATTTAAACTCATTGTTGCCGGTTTCCAAACACCTAAAAGGTGAAATTGAATAGGTCTCATTGCTAGTCTTGAATTTGGAATTAACTCTAAACAAGATGTTATTATCCCCAAGAGACGTAGATAATGTCTTGCTGTGCACCGATCTTTGAGTAGACTTTGAACAGATAAAAACAGATTTTTCACCCTTTCTGAAGTGGGATAAACTAAGCTCTGTTCTAGACGAAACAAGGCGCCTATATAACCGATTTGTTGGGATGGTGCAAGTTGTGACTTTTTTAGATTGATTGTAAAACCTAGTCAAATCAGAAGATCTACAATCTTTTCTCGATTTATTAAAAGATTCTCCCTCTGACTGTCTACCGATAGAAGGTCGTCCAAGTAAAACGCCATTCTGATATTTTGAATGCGAAGATTTTCGGCAACAACCGACAGAAGTGCTGATGTTGGGCCGAAACATAACACTTAGAATTGATACACCTTGTTTTCTACACAAAAACGAAGATATTTCCGGTGGCCTGGGAAAATAGGAATATGGGGGTATGCATCTTTTAAATCGATTGAGATTGCCCAATCGTTTGATTCGACTAAATTCAAAACTTTCCGTAGAGTATCCATTTTGAAATGAGTTTTCTTGAGATACTCGTTTAAGAAATGAAATGAAATGAAATGGGGTTTAACGTCCTACTGTTCTGCTCCTATACTCGTTTAAGGGCCATAGGTTGATGACCGGTCTCAGCTCCCCGTTCTTTTTGGGAACCAAGAAAATTGTACTGAAAAAACCTACATTTTTCTCTCTCTCTGGAACAATCTCTATGGCATTCTTTTGCAAAAGAGAAGAAATTTCTTGTTTTATAAGTTTTAAATTTTCCACACCCATAATAGTGTGCTTTACTCCTAAGAAAGGAGGTAACTGAAGAAATTCCAGTTTGTAACCCTCTTTTATGGTTGATAAAACCCATTTTTCTGTAGTTATCTCTTGCCATTGTTTCAGAAAACGAGAAAGACGGCCCCCAACAGGTACTTCTGGGAACCCCATTAAAACACTCACCTTGTCATAGTTGTGGATCTTTGCCTTTTCTATGAGAGCCGACCGTAAAGGAAGGTTTGCGGGTATTATGGTAGCCTTTGTTAGGATATGATCCCTTTCTAATTTCTTGTTTATAAGTTTTAAATTTTCCACACCCATCCCATAATAGTGTGCTTTACTCCTAAGAAAGGAGGTAACTGAAGAAATTCCAGTTTGTAGCCCTCTTTTATGGTTGATAAAACCCATTTGTCTGTAGTTATCTCTTGCCATTGTAGCAGAAAACGAGAAAGAAGGCCCAAAACAGGTACTTCTGGGCACCTCATTAAAACACTCATCTCGTCATTGTTGTGGATCTTTGCCTTTTCTATCAGAGCCGACCGTAAAGGAAGGTTTGCGGGTATTATGGTAGACTTTGTTAGGATATGATCCCTTTCTATCAAAAGGCCTACTTGTTAACTTCTGTGTTGGAACACCAAAAGACTCTGTATTAAATTGCATTTCCCTACTAGTAGATGGGTGGAAAGATGCGCTCCGTTTAGCTGGGGAAGACTCACTAACGAACGCCCCCTTACGCTTTCGCTCTCGACGATGCACATCGGGTAACAGGTCTTGAACGGCTTTCTTTTGGTCCTTTTCTCCTTCAAAGTTTTTTCTAAATTAAGACCGAACACACCATCTCCTGTACGAGGCAGATTAGATACAATCTTTGAATTTTCAACTTCAAAAAGAGACGTGTCAGTCATGGCTACTGAACGTCTAATATATGGTGAAAAGTCCCAACTCTACCTATCTGATCTAAATGTTTTGTTGACATAGCGAAAATGTTCTGTACTTGCTGTACTAATTTCTCTTTTATAGAGTTCAGATCACCCAAAGCCTGCTGGATATAAAGTTGAATACTGATACCCATAAAAGCTGCCTGCTGTCCCCTATATGCCACTTTCTCTACCGCTCTGTACGATTGTTTATATAATGAGCGACCAGATTTAGCAAAAGATGCTTTCGAACCATGCTTTTGAATTAAGCAGGCTTCTATCATATCATCCATTGATGGAACTTGTAAAAATGTTCTTGTTTCCTCATCAATGGGAAACATTTCCAAATTTTCTTTGGGAAAAGCAGAAATGCTAGAAGGATTTATAGCTCTCCAACTTTGAGACAGAACTTCTCGTCGAGATTCATCTAATTTGATACAAAAATTTGTAACCTCCTTTTTGGTCAATGTATCCTTGCCAAAAATGGAAAATAACCCTTTTTTTCATAACACTGTCAGAAAAGGTGTTAGACGTTTGTTCATTTTCACAACTTAAAATAGGCATTTCAACATCAGACCTAGTGTCGTCAGAGTCTATACGTTCTTGCTGTCCTGGCTGAATAGACAAAATGTCATCCGATTCATAAGAATCTTCATTCCTTGAGAAAACTCTGTTAGTATTGGCCTTCTAACATGGGCTATCTTCTCTCAGTTCTGTCCGTCTACATGATTCAGTAGAGGTAACTGGGTTTTTGGCCAAAACATTGCCGCCATTACCTTCGATCGCTTGACAAATACGATCTAGTTTAAGCTCTAAAGCATCTAATCTAGCTTTTGTCTTCGACTTCTTGTGAGATTTATTCTTTTTTGAAGTAATTCTTACCTCATTTGTGGCTGTATCTTTCGCTAAAGTGACACGATCATTCGCATGATCAAAATTATTACTACATCCATCGGCTCCACCGTCTAAATCCAAAGCCGTAGGCATCTTACTGGGCCCCACATTGGAAAGAGAAGTCATCGTTGTAGATAAATCACGAGAGAGAGAGAGAGAAATGGAGTTTAACGTCCACTCGACACAAACTAGGTCATTTCGGGACTAACATATGGTTCAATTTTATTTCCATAATTCGCTTGCGCGTAGGGGTCTTTAGCTGTGGGAGGAAACCGGAGGACCCGGAGAAAACCCACGAGGTTGGACAAGCGCCCCTACTCCTTGTCACGTACAACCGGGGAATCGAAACCCCCGCCAGTTGACTCAATGACAGACCGTATGATACAGCGCGCGTGCTAACCATTCGGCCATCCAACCCCCAAGATGAATCACTCGAAATTTCGGACATCATAAAACCGAAAACCAACTAAAGTTCACACAAAAACCACGTGCGATTTCCACGCGCCGAGAAATGAAATGGGGTTTAACGTCCTACTGTCCTGCTCCTAACAAACACGCGCCGAGAAAGGAAACTGACATATTATATCACGTGTGCAGGAAGTCACATTATGATGACGTAGTGCATACGTTTTTAACTTCCAGTAGACTTGTTCAGTCTATTAGTACCGGAAAGTGCGAGTTACAAATAGCGCAAAAAGGAAATCCATATGTACATATATGTCAGGTAGGTTTTATGAAATAATATTGTGACCTCTACAGGGACTACAAGCTAAAAACGTGATTTTTTGTTCGATCAAGGGCCATAATTCAGGAAGTTACGATCCGATATGCGTGAATATCGACAGGAACCAATATCTTTGGGTTATAAACATGTATTTCAAGTTTCATCGAAATCGGATCAAAATTATGACCTTTAAAGGGTCCACGACATTGATTTACCGGATGTTTACACTATTTGCGTACGATGGGCGGCCATTTTGTCCGGCAGTTTTGAAAGGGACCGATATCTGTGGGTTATAAACATGCATTTCAAGTTTCATCAGAATCAGATGAAAATTGTGACCTCCAGAGGGTCCACAACCCTGTAACACAATATTTTGACACTATTTGCGAACGAGGGGTGGCCATTTTGTCCGTCAGTTTTGGTTAGGGTGTAACGATGATATATTGTAAGGTTTTTTTTTAAATCGGATTAAAATTGTGACCTCTATGGGATCCAAAAGCTAAAAACGCAATTTTTCGTACAATTAGGGGCCATAATTCAGGAAGTTATGCGCGAATATCGAAAGGAACTGAGATCTGTGGGTTATAAACATACATTTCAAGTTAAAAGCCAAATCGGATAAAAAGTGTGACCTCTACAGTGTTCACAAGCGAAAAATGTGACTTTTCGTACAATCAGGGGCCATAATCCATGAAGTTACAGTCCGATACATGCCAATATCGAAAGGAACAGAGATCTTAGGGAGATAAACCTATATTTCAAGTTTCGTTGAAATCGGATAAAAATTGTGACCTGTAGAGTGTTCACAAACAATTGTGGACGGACGGACAGGGGCGACAACAATTTACGTCCACATGAAAATGTGGGCGAATAAAAAGTCAAATCGGATATTAAAGTTAGCCTCTAGAGCGTCCACAAGATTTTCAAAGTGATCACGGGCCTTAACTCTGGCAGTAATTATTAGAAATCAATATGATTCTTTGCCTTATGAACTTAAACACTGTGTATAAATTTTAAGTCAATCGGATATTAACTTTAGTCTCTAGAGCGTCCACAAGATTTTTCAAAGTAATCAAGGGCCATAACTCGGGCAGTAATTATCGGAAATCGGTGAAAATCAATAGGATTCTTCGTCTCATGACCTTAAACACTGTATATACATTTAATGTCAATCGGATATTAGCTTGTGGACGCCGGACGGACCGACGGAGGGGGGCGACTACAATATACAACCACATTTCAATTTGGGCGTATAAAAAGATCAGGTACATATAAATTATATCAAACAAAACAATAAGATGTCGGCTTTCAGAATCTGTTAAAAATATTACAAAAGATTAAAAATAGCAACTGTGACGTTAAGTTGAAAACAGGTTACAAATCAGGAAAAAAACACCTTCTCCCAACTCGAGCAATAGAGCTGTGACACCTAGTATCAGTGCCATTTTCTCTTTAAATTTGGATCATTTGCTACACAATGATGATGTAGCGCGACCCATGGCTACATTAAAATTGTCTCCAGGAACACATAAAATGGGCCGAGTTGAGGACAGTAACCTATTGTAATACTGTACCTGACATCTATCCATGAATGTTCTGGCTAAACTACTAAATGCTGACCTCGGTAATTCTGAGTTTTGCACCAGAACATCAGATAAATTCATTTTTCTGTTGGAAGGAGATTTTTTAGGAGTACATTTTCTCTTCTTGGGGGCAAGCATGGGTGATTTAGAAAAACTATGACTGGAAGGAATCGGTAACACTCTGTTATTGGGTGGATGTTGGCGGGCTTCCTGACATATAGTACACATATTACAAAACGTCTGTACACAACTTCTTGGAAATAAAGAATAAACATCTTGAATCTATGAAAATAGAAGACAAAAAAGGAAATATGAAAATGTGGAAGCTGGTTCGTCAATCCTATAAACATGCCCACCAGCAGCTTGACCATTTACATAACAATCTTTGACATAATTTCCTCGAGGATCTTCAAATTTGACTGTGAGTAAAATCATTAAATGTCGTTAGCCATCATTACAGTCTAGTGTCTTTGAAAGAGTTCAGCAGATGATTGTGTCAAATTCCTTTACGTAAAGTAGGCTAGTAACTGGATTTTTGATAATTAAGCAAGGTCAAGAATATTTTCTGGTTAAAAATCAATGATATTTATGGTGGCTGATTGGTATCATGGCATGATGTCGTGGTGTCGCCCTTCATAAGGCGACAACCCGACATCCCGACATTTTAACCCGACACCACGACAACACAACATTTTTAACCCGACAATACGACATTTTCACCCGACACTAAAATGTCGTAACATGGCGTACAAATGTCGTATTGTCGGGTTATGTACACTGATCCTGGTGTTGGTCAAGATAGTTCCCCGGGATTGTGCAGCGCGGTTTCTACATGTCCGTAGTGCAGAACAAAGGGCCTGGCAAAGAAAAGTGCCTAGTATTGTAGATGGGATAAAAAAACCAAAAAAAACAAACTAGCTACTGGCGTGCACATAAAAGAATCCTTCACAGCTGAAATTCAATGAAGAAATGCCACGGTCCATTGAAAATTTCCGTCATATCATTCTGCCTAGCGTATGTCCGAATGGTGCAGAAATGTAGGAAAAAGAAATGAAATGAAATGGGGTTTAACTTCCACTTGTTCTTGTCCAATTGGTGCAGAAACGTAGGGAAATGAAATGAATTGAAATGGGGTTTAACGAACAACTGTTCTGCTCCGAGAGTCACAGTGGCTAAGTGAGTCAGACCCTGGCTCGATAGCCTGGAGGTCGCTCGTTTGCTCGAGATTTTCCGGCTTGGTTTCCCCTTGTCAAGGGTGCAGGAAGGAGGGCCTGACAAGGAAAGCTGTCTAGTCATTCGAATGGGACGAAAACCGTGTATACATTGGCGTGCACGTACAAGATCGCTTAGCAGTTGGAATTCGATGTAAGAGTAGGCCGTAGCGCCGTTGTTTGGGCGAAATGTCCCGCATAACACACTGTATGGCGTAAGCCCGTCTTCATTATCCCAGTTGGAGCATTTCGTTCTGCTCGGACTGGGCTAGTGAAGACGGACATACGGTATACAGTGTACTATGAGGGGAAACTTTGCACGGATAGCAGCGCTACAGCCTACTCTTATATTGAATCCAACTGTCAGGGGATCTTTTACATGCCCGCCAATATGTACATAGGGTCTTGGTTTTTCGTCCCATCCGAACGATTATGCGTTATCCCTTGCCCTCACCCCTCCTGCACGACTGTCAAGGAGAAATCGCTCCGGAAATGGTGTTTAATTCCCTACTTTCCTGGTAGTCACGGTGACTCAGTGAGTAAGACGTTGGCTCGCTAACGTTAAGGTCTCGAGTTCGATCACTGCGTTAGCCGAGAAAGCTTATCAGAAATTTTCCGGCTTGATTTCTCTTTACAGTGGTACAGGATGGAGGGCCTGGCAGAGGGATAACGTATAGTCTTTTGGATTGGACGAAAAATCGAGGACATTAAACTCCATTTCATTTCGTTCTGCAAGGACTGGGCTAGTGAAGACGGACATACGCTATACAGTGTACTATGAGGGAAACTTTACCTGGATAGCAGCGCTACGGCCGACTTATACTGAATTAAAACTGTCAGGGGGTCTTTTACGTGCTCGCTAATATGTACACGGAACCTCGATTTTTCGTCCCATCCAAAAGACTATACGGGCAAAGTTTCCCTCATAGTACACGATATACCGTATGTCTGTCTTCACTAGCCCAGTCCCAGCAGGACGAAGTGAAATGAAATGGAGTTATATGCCCTACTGTTTTGCTCCGACTGGGCTAATATAGACAGGCTAAAATTCTCAAAAGTAAATCCCTGTTGTGGAATATATAAATTGTTCACACTTTCATACAATAAGTGTAGAATAAAGAGCACTTACTGCTTTAAGACACCGTTTATAGCCCATTGTTTGATTTTCCTCACCCGGTTCATGTTTATGAAATTGACAAAGAATATCATAAAAATCATCTGTAAAGGCTACACGTCTAAATACTGTTGATTCATCATCCACTGGTCGGATCTGAAAATCAATTTGTAATACTAAAGTGAGGCCGGATGTGTACAAGTGGCTGACAAGAAACAAACTGGAAGTGAGATCGGCTAACCTTTCCAGGTCATAAGCCTCCATGTCCGCCATATTTATTTCACAAATTGGAAACAAGTATGGCGGCTTGGGGGCATTAACTTTTTTTATTTAATTATTTCGGTATTTTTGTAACCGGAGTTCAGCTTTAACAGAAACATTTTTGAGGGGTATTGGTTTGCATCTCCCCACTCGCTTCAAATATCCTTGATCTGTTTGCTTAAAGTGCTGATCACACCCTGGCTTTAACTTCATTCTTAAACTAGAACTGCGGTGCAGTAATGGCGGGATTCACAGGTGCCATGTTACCCAAGAACTTATGTCACTTTCAGTGCCACGTTACCCTTGAACTTATGTCACTTCTGTTATACGTGTTATAAAATGAATGCAGAATCAACCAAATCCAGCAATATCAATTCCATTTATACAATTTTTACCATGTCTTTCAAATGTCAAAAAAGTGATCCTGAAAAAATTTGTTACTTACCGCTAAGTTAGCTGTCTTTCTAATGGTAAATTTAAATGCGAAAAAAATCTTAAAGATAGGTTGCCAGGCAACGAAACATGCGTCCACAGCAGCTATATCGTCCGGGCAGTCAACAAGAGTTGTCGCATATATTTACTTTTTTCGGTAATGAAACATTTATAATAAATTAAAATCTGATTAAGAGTAACAACTCATTAAGTAATTATCAGAAAACCATTAGAATTTGTTTGGTTTTTATAAAGTTCTGTCCCATGCTAATGTTTAGTATACAAAACTTTTAAAATCATGGATTTAGCTGTTCAAGTCATAAAGATTCGTTGAAAATCAATTACTTGTTCGTCTCAAGACCTTAAACTCTGTGTACCAATCTGAAGTCAATCGGATGATAACTTTAGCCTCTAGAGCGTCACAAGATTTTTCAAAGTGATCAAGGGCCATAACTCTGGCAGTAATTATCCGAAATCGTTGAAAATCAATATGATTCTTAATCTCATGACCTCAAACACTGTGTATAAATTTAAGATTTTTCAAAGTGATCAAGGGCCATAACTCTGGCAATCATTATCGGAAATCGCTGAAAATCAATAGGCTTCTTCGTCTCATGACCTTAAACACTGTGTATAAATTTAAAGTCAATCGGATATTAACTTTAGCCTCTAGAGTGTCCACAGGCAATTGTGGACGCCGGACCTGCCGGACGGACGGGGGCGACGACAATATACGACCACATTTCAATGTGGGCGTGTAAAAAGTGATCTTTCTCGACAAGGAAAGGCGTTAGAAGCAATTTTTGGACATTTATATATTCGTATTGATCCAATCTATATGTCAATTGGAATCAAATAAATAATGTTAAACGAATAATAAATATAACTCATTTTAAAAGAAAATGTTTGTTTTGAAGGCTCAAAATACAGTTTTTGCCAAGATGACATCAATTCCGGTGATAATGAAAATGTTAAATTGGTTATGAAATCATAAATGGCATAAGGCATCACATGGTGAAAATTTTATGAAAATCGAATAATAATTGACATTTTTATAGACCAAAAACCTTGAAAAGTGACTTGTAGAAAATCGTCTATTTCTCTGCAGCCGTACAAGTTAGAAACCAGTTTGTGGTATCTGGATGATCGTATGGGTACATTCTGTTTGTTGATTGGAATCAAATATCATCATTTTAAAAGCATTACAAATTAGACTCATTTGAATAAAATATCTGTTTTGAAGGCTAAAATACAGTTTTTGCCCAAATGACATCATTTCCGGTGACAGTGAAAACGATAAATTGATTTCACCTAATCAAAATTGGCATTGGGCATCAAATGGTAAAAACAAATTCAAAATCGAATAATAATTGACTCTTTTACTGGCAAAATATCGTGAAAAGTGACGCATGCAATATTGCCTATTTCTCGGCAACTGCTCATATTACAAACTAATTTTCACATACATTCTCTTCGTATGGATTAATGCTACAGGTTTATGATAGTTGTCAAGAAATATTTTAAAACATAAAAAGCCCGAATACATTGTCAATAGCCCCATTTTACCCTTTTTTCGCCTGTAAATCAAAATGGCACAAATACAAAACCGAAATTTATATAAATAAGCCTGACATATTTTGCGTCTTTAGTAGGAGCATTTATCTTGATCTTTTCGATTTGTAAACATTAATATTTGCATTTGAAAAGACATTTCGACTGTCAAAATTGAAGTTTTGGGCAAAATTATTTCACTTCCGGTGCGGACAGAAAATTCTATTGGTATAAAAATGTTGAGAGTTCGCACAACAGGGCATATGAGATTTTCTTTTATACAAATCAGGCAATAAATATTTAACTTAGAATCCATGAACTGAAATTAAAATGCGAAAAATCTTAACAAAAATCCTGACAAAATTCGTTATTTCTCGGCAAGGGAAGGTATTAGAAACATTTTTTTGATATCTATATGATCGTATTGGAATCAAATATCATAATTTTATACGAATAATGAATATCACTTATTTAAAACAAATAAAAATACGGTTTTTGAAAAAATAATATTACTTCCGGTGATAATGAAAATCTTAAATTACTTGTATGAAATTGTAAATGGCATTAGGTATCACATGGTGAAGTTTTACGAAAATCGAATAATAATTAACACTTTTAAGGACCAAAAACCTTGAAAAAGTGACCTGTTGAAAATCGCCTATATCTCCGCAACTGAACCAGTTAGAAACCATTTTTTGATATCTATATGATCGTATGGGTTCATTCTATTTGTTGATTGGAATCAAATATCAACATTTTAAACAGATAGCAAATACAATTCATTTGAATAAAGTATGTGTTTCGAAGGCTATAAATACAGTTTTTGCCCAAATTACGTCATTTCCGGTGATATTGAAAATATTAAAGTTGTTTGAACTAGTCACAATTGACTTTACTCATTAAATGGTGTCACTGTTATGAAAATCCAATAATAAATGACTCTTTTACAGGCAAAATAGCGTAAAAGGAGACTCATGCAAAATTGACCATTTCTCGGCAACTGCTCATATTACATATTTTGCGCCTTTTGTAGGGGCATTTATCTTGATCTATCAGATTTGCAAAAATTAACATTTGCTAGCGAAAAGATGTATCGACTCGTCAAAATCGGAGTTTTTAGCAAAATTGCGTCACATCCGGTGTCGATAGAAAACTTTACCTGTAATAAAAAAAATGAGAATTTGCACCGTGGAGCATATGAACTTTGTTTTATAAAAATCGGGCAATAAATAATTAACCTAGAACTGATAAACTGAATTAGCCAATAGCGGCCAAGAATAATTATCGAGACAAAAAATGTTCACATTTTTGCTCAAATTAAACGACCCTTTAACCCTGGGTAAAATGCCATAATAAAATATTCATAAATAAAAAATGTTTTTGTAAAAATTTAAATTTTCAAAATTTGGCGCCTTATATCTGCAAAAATTCATCTAAAATCAAAAATCTAAACTATTGTAGCTATCTCCCTTGTCTCTGGCTATGTCAAATGTATCAAATGTTAAAATCCGAGGATTATTGTTAATATTACGGCAATATTTAAAAAAACGACAACTTCGGCGATTTCGGACATTTCGCATTGTCGCAGAACGTTCGAAATAGCTTTAATCTCTAAGTCACACCCACTGTCCAAGTAAAACCGAAGACACCAAATTGATCCGACAAGTAGTTTCTGAGATATGCTCAAGTGGAAAAAAATAATAATAATAAGAACTACTGTCTGTTCCAGGCGACACTACGACTCGAAAATTGCTTACTATTTCTTCAATTTTTAATTAAAATGGTTAAAACTTCACGACCTACCTTGAATTATAAATTCGATAAAATCCTTTATTCTCTTGTAAATTTCACATTTTTCGACACTAATCAATTTCTCAGAACATAAACATTATCACGGCGCTTGCGTAAGTTGGGTCACTCGTATATCAGGTAGGGGTATAAAGTATTCCACAAATCGGGTCCATTCGGTTAATAATATTTATGCGGGAGGATTCGCCCGTTTGTTTTGCGGCAATGCGAGGGGTGTTGGTGTGCGTAAGTGTGTGTGTGTTTAGGTTTATTTGGTTACCGGTATTTTAATATTCCTTAGAGATATTCATAGTATTGCATGTCTCCTAAAATATCCCTCACAGAACATTTATTTTCAGCATTAGATGGCATGGTAACCTTTCTGATAAAGTGTAAATTTGTACCATATCTTATAATTTTATGGACTTAAAATAGTTTTGATTAACGGTATCTATTTTTATTTATATTCGCGTTCCAAAGGCACACAAGATTTGTTTAAGATATTGTCGTAGAACAGATAGAAAAAAATGAATCGTAGAAAATATAATTCCTTGAATAATGGATCATCCTTTCATCACATGCATTTGGAAGTTGACGATGCTGTGTGTATATAAGAAGGTGGATACTTTAATTTTAGCACAAGAAAAGGCCTTTGTCGCCCGAAGAAACACCAATTTTAAAATCAAAGACGTTAAGCGTCTGTTTCTGGAGGCCAAGGCTAGTGTGACAACTAGACTGGGCTAAGTAATGTCAACACGTCATAGACAAGGTGGAGGATCGGTTTTGGGAAGCTAGAAGATTGAATGAGGAAGTACCACCAGTCGTGATTTCGTTCGGAAGTGACAGCGAGTATGAGTGTGAGAGTGAGGATTTGGGCGACAATTTCAGTGGGGAGTGTGATAGTGAAAATGTTGGTGAGAATATTGATGGCCGTGGTGTTGCGAATGAAGATTCGAGTGATGATGATATAAACGTGTGTAGTGTATGAGATTATGAGAACCCACCGGGAAGTGAATCGGATGCGATTGTGGATTGGGTGGGCTGTGATTTGTGTGAAAGGTGGATGCATGTGAAAGTACAGGGAAAGAGATTGAAGTAAGCGCAAGTGTGGTGAAGTGTGTAGATATTGTGCATAAATTATCTGATAGATATAGCGTGAATGTAGGCCAGACAACTTCTGTAATATATATTGTATATAGTCGGGGAATTTTCTGTGAATTTGTGTAAATAAATGATTTGTATAAAACAGTTTATTTTCCGTTTTCTTGTTTAAAAGGTAGACTTGCAGAAATTGAATTGAGTTCAAGATGAATCAAAAAGAATAAATAAAATGTAAAACAAAAAAAAAACCACCCGTGGTCTGAACACACGCATTTACGTGCCCTTGATCTATCAGGAGTTGACACGCCGTTCCGTTTTCTGTCATATTATCACTTGCTTAGGGACATTTCACAAAATCAAACAAGAAAAAGAGTAGGCTATATATACTGAGCGCTATGAAAAACGCATCACTTTTTTTCCCAAATATTTTATTACTAGGTGGTTTTGTATGTATAATATTATGCAATACTATGAACTATTGTTTCACACAATGCTCCCAAACGCAAAAAATATCGGCCCGTGTGCACAAACAATTGCACGAGATGCACATAAAAAAACCAATATTCACGTGCAGCATTGTGTGTAAGCCCTTTAAAAGCATGTTTTCAACTTAATGTGCAGAACATGAACTGTGAAACGTCAATCTGTCGTAATTTGTTGTTGGACGTGTGAAGGAATCGAGCTAGAGAGGCCGAGACTTACTGAAAATCAACGGAATGAAGCCATGGGAATTTTCAGGGCTGACATGTCTGCACGTGCTATTGCCAGACACTTCAATTGTCATCAGTCCACCATTGTAAGGTTGGTGGAACGTGTTGGAGTTTCTGGATCAACATGTGACCGTCAACGTCCTGGTCCACAAGCGTTACAACCCAGGCTCAAGACCGCTACATCCGGGTCACTCATCTGCGTGACAGATTCCGCCCAGCGACTCGAACAGGTGCAGCAGTCGTCGGAAGACAAGGACCAGTTAGTGCCAACACCGTAAGACGTCGTCTAAGAGAAGTAGGACTCCGTGCACGACGACCTTATGATGGAGTTATCCTCAGGGATCATCACCGTCAGCGGCGTTTGATATGGGCTCAAGGACACCAGACATGGAGAAGAGTAGACTGGCAAAGTGTGCTCTTCAGTGATGAGAGTCGCTTTCATCTTTATCACGCTGATGGCCGTCAACGTGTGTGGAGACGTCTTGGGGAACGTCTTGCAGACTGCTGCGTCTTCTAAACGAATCGATGGGATGGGGAAGTGTAATGGTGTGGGGAGGCTTCACATTTCATCACCGGACCGCCCTACACATTTGAAGGGGTCGCGTTAATGCTGTAGCCTACCGTGATGATGTCTTGCAACCAATTGTTGTTCCGATGTTTCGAGCGCACCCACAATTTCAGCACTTCCAACAGGATAATGCACATCCGCATACCGCCCGTTTTAGTATGGACTACCTGGCTGCTAACAATATCAATGTCTTGGACTGGCCAGCCATGTCTCCGGACATGGCACCGATAGAACATGTCTGGGATGAGATTGGACGCCGTCTGTATCGGAGACCACAGATGCACACCATTGCTGCTTTAGAAGCTGCTCTTGTCCAAGCATGCAGCAATTTGCCCAAGGCCTTCTTTCAAACATTGGTAAATTCCATGGGACGTTGCTGCACAAAGTGCGTAAGAGCACGTGGAGGACACACATCTGTGTCGTACTTTGTACCGTTGATTACAGATTAAACATCCATAAGTGTACAAATGTGTTGTTATTGATGTGTTCTCATTTGAATATTGTTCAAAATAAGAAGCAAAATAAATAAGATATGTTTACAGGATCATTTTGTTATACGAAAAACTAAGTGATGCGTTTTCCATGGTATAAAAATACCTTAGGAGCGCCCCCTTTCAATTGGATTAAAACTTTTAAAAAAGAAAAGAAAACTCTATCAATATATTGCCAACTATGGTGGTCCACCAAGGTATATATCTTTCTTAAAAGTGCTACAAGACCACGATTTGGCGGTCTGAAAATAGTATTAAAAGTCGTACAAAGCCAAATAAAATCGACAGTTATATATCTATTATTCTAAAGCCAGATAGACAATTCGTTTGAATTGTCATTTAGCCTACTTCCAAATTTCCATGACGTGTCACTACAATATGGAGTCAAACTTTGTATGTAGTTTATATCAATTTCCAAAAGCCACAGGACTGGGGCCGCCAATTAAATATCTATGGCAGTGGAGTAAACAACGGTGGTCTGAAACCAAATAGCAAATTTATATTACCTCCCGTAAATAGCTCATAAAGCAAATTATATTCTACTGAGCCGAAACAACTATTTAAACATGCAAGTAGGACGAAACAACCCCAAGTCAAATCCACACCCCTGTTCGATTTGGTTTATTCCAAATAACTAGGTCAAGCATGGCTGTCTTCATTACCGCGAAATAAATAAACAACGATTTTTCAAGACAGAAAGGTTATATAGCTTGGTCTGAAATTAGTTAACGTGCGGTAGAAAGTAAAGGGGTGACAATTTCAGGTAGGTTGTTAAATTTTAACCATTTTAATTAAAAAGTGAAGAATAGCAAGCAATTTTCGAGTTGTAGTGTCGCCTGGAACAGACAGTAGAACTGCGATGTAGTAATGACGGGTTTCAACGGTGCCACATTACCATTGAACTTATGTCACTTCCGGTGCCACGTTACCCGTGAACTCATTTTACTTCCAGTACCAATGAAACCGTTAAACAGATTTCCACATTAGCATTGCACACGTGTTATAAGATAAGTTGCCAGGCAACAAAACATACGCCCACCGCAGCTAAATCGTCCGAGCGGTCTTCAAGGGTTGTCGCATATTTATTCCTTTGTAGGTAATTGGGGGCCTTTACAAGACAGTTCCATACAGATCAGATTATAAATTTGGTCGTTTGAGGGTTTACAAGGTTCTACAAACTGAAACAAGGGTCTCAAGTAATCTACAGAAATTGTTGAAATTTGACAGGCTTTTTCGTTTTACTAATTTAAATGATGCATATAAATTTCATAAAGATCACATGATCACTTTTGTCATTCAAACGTTCACAATCGCCATAACTCTAGAAATTATTGACGGAAATTGCTGAAATTCAATAAACCTGTTTCACAAATTTAAATGATGCATATAAATTTCATACATATCGGATGATAACTATCATCAATCGAGTATTAACAAGGTTTAACAAAGTGAAACAAGGGCAATAACTCTAGAAGTAATTATTGTAAATTGCTGAAATTCAATAGGATTTTCGTTTCACTAATTTAAATCATGAATATAAATTTCACAAATATCGGTTGATAACTTTTTGCGTTAGAGCGTTCACAAGGATCAATAAAGTGAAACAAGGGCCATAACTCTAGACGTAATAAACTGAAATTGCTGAAATTCAATAGGCATCTCCGTTTCACTAATCTAAATAATGCATATAAATTTCACAAAGATCGAATAATAACTTTTGGCGTTGGAGCGTTCACAAGGTTCAATAAAGTGAAACAAGGGCCATAACTCTAGACGTAATAAACGGAAATTGCTGAAATTCAATAGGCTTCTTCGTTTCACCTATTTAAATAATGCATGTAAATTTCAGAAAGATCGGATGATAACTATTGGAGTTATAACGTTCACAAGGTTCAATAAAGTGAAACAAGGGTCATACCTCTAGACGTTATAAACGGAAATTGCTGAAATTCAATAGGATTCTTTGTCTCACTAATTTAAATAATGCATATAATTTTCAGAAAGATCGAATGATAACTTTTGATGTTAGAGCGTTCACAATGATCATTTTAGTGAAACAAGGGCCATAACTCTAGACATAATAAACGGAAATTGTTGAAATTCAATAGGCTTCTTTGTTTCAGTAACCTAAATAAACCGCTTATCTCTGCTTACCCGAAGCAGAAAATTCTCATCTTCGAACTCCATCAAGGCATTCACCTATTAGACACCTACGCCAAGTCTGAACATTCTATCTAATTAGAATGAGAATTATTGTGTTCCAAAGTCTCGACCAATCAAATTGCTTATCACTCTGCTTACCCTGAGAAGAAAATGCTTATTGTCGAACTTTGTCAAGTTATAGATGTAATGAAACTATACACCAAGTTTCATCACTCCCTAATTAGAACTAAAGTCATCGTGTCCCAAAGCATCAACCAATCAAATTGCTTATCTCTGCTTACCCTAGGCAGAAAATGCTCATCCTCGAAACAAGGCATTGACTTAATAAACACCTACACCAAGTTTGAACATTCTGGCTCAATTACATGGAGAGTTATTGTGTTCCAAAGTCTCGGCCAATCAAATTGCTTATCGCTCTGCTTACCCTGAGCAGAAAATGCTCATTATCGAACTTAGTCACGGTATTGATGTAATGAAACTATACATCAAGTTTCATCACTCTCACTTAATTAAAACTAAAGTTATCATGTCCCAAAGCATAAACCAATCAAATTGCTTATCTCTGCTTACCCTATGCAGAAAATGCTCCTATTCGAACTCCATCAAGGCATTGGCTAATAAACACCTACACCAAGTTTGAACATTCTAGCTCAATTAAAGAGTTATTAAAGAGTTATGCGACAGAAAGACAGACCCATTTTAATAGTATGGTCAATTAAAGACATCGGAGATTGTATCACACAAGCTGTCATATGATGATTCTAATCTTTTACCTATCACTGTCGCTCACATTATGTAACATAATAGTCCCCTGCTTTCTTCGAAAGGCGGGGGACAGCAATAGTATGGTCAATTAAAGACATCGGAGATTGTATCACACAAGCTGTCATATGATGATTCTAATCTTTTACCTATCACTGTCGCTCACATTATGTAACATAAGGCTATTTTTTTTTCCAAAGCTGTCAAACAAGCAAGAGTTGGATTTGGGCTTTAAAATCGGTAGGTAAATGCAGAATGTGAGACATTGATGTACATACAGTACTGGTTACCATGTCTAATTAATACTGACCTTTAGCCTCTTAGTACCATGTTCATAGACTCTCTGATATAAATATTCTTTAACTTCATCATCAGCATCAATTTCGGTTTGTAAAATTTCAAACCCTTTGTTTCGTATATAATAGCCAAAACGTGGAGTACTGAAAAACACATATGAAGTAGTACAAATCAGATTTCTTTTTTTATTTCATATTTATTTGTACATTAGTGTACACATCTTTACAATTTATATAAACACATTTAGTCAATGCATAAATAAGTAATTATTTCATTAAGATCTTTTCTATGTGAGTAAGTTTCGTGCGACTCACACATATACTAAGCAGGAAAAGAAACGTCTGGTTGGTATGTTAATCTGAATAGACGCATTGCATAAAACTTGCCAAATGTTTTTATTGTATATTTGTGACCACATCTCCAACTTTACCTGAGAAATAAGGCTCCTTCCCAAATACAGAATTGAACGCAGGAAATGTTCTCAAAAACGCAACCTGACAACTAAGATGGTAATGTGTTCTCCATGATTTTCATGTAACTCATGCTGCACGTGCTGTTCACCGGGACCAACCCTATAAAATGCACCCCCATACCTGGTTGAAAAATGGACACTACAACGTCAGCAGCATGCCACAACTCAAGACAGTTCAGAGGAACCAGGCGCTGGCCACACTGCCCAAAGCCGTTGCCAATCACTTCCATGTCAATGTTCGGACCATCTACAGGCTTCAGCAATGCTTTCGGGCCACCAACACCATGGATGATCGCCCCGAACTAGTAGACAAAGGGTTACCACAAGGCGACAAGATCGCCATGTTGTGCGACAGCACGTGCAGAATCCCTTCACACAGGTAACTGAGACAGCACGTCAAGACAGTGGGAACACACGGAAGACCCATGGTACCGATACTGTGCGCCGACGTCTCACCAGAGAGAACATCCATTGCCGTAGAACTTACCGTGGACCGACCCTCACCCCTCGCCATCGATGTGAACTTCTACACTTTTTGCCCAACAGCACCAGAACTGGCGACACAGGCAATGGAGAACTGTTCTGTTGACAGACGAGAGTCGGTATTGCGTATCAACTGCAGATGGCAGGACAAGAATATGACGTCGATGTGCCCAGCGTTATTCTGACCAATGTGTCATGGAAAGAGACTCATGGGGATATCCAATCATAATGGTTTGGGGTGGAATCGGCCTGAACCAGAGATTGGGTTCAAGGAAAGTAGGCGGCATCAGAGCAGTGCGCTACATCGATCAAGATCTCAGACCACACGTCATACCACATTTCGCACGTCATCGAAACAACGTTTTCCAGCATGACAACGCCCGTCCCCACATCGCAAGAGTTACTCAGGACTTTCTACAGCAGAACGGTGTCAACGTTATGCACTGTACATGTACAGACGCTGCGCTGCTGTTATTAACACTCGTGGTGGACACACCAGATACTGATGTATAGACTGTGTACAGGCACTAAACCTTCTCGTAATGTCTTGGAATTGTGATGAATTAATCACATACTGTTCACAAAAAATTGCTTTGATCCATTGACGAATTATTTACCCGAGAACATTTTACAAGTTTCAATAATTATCATTTTACATATTTCTGGATACATATCAAATTATATTAAAAATAAATAAACATGAATATAGCGATAACAATCATGGTATATTGTTTACTACAGAGATAACAATCTGACGGTGTATTCCCGCGAAGGCGCAGTTACAGAGCATGACCAAAATAAAATTGTTTATTTTATTAATTGAGGAAAGTGATCGTCCTCAAAAATGTCCAGATCCATAAAGTGTTAGGCTAAATTTTGAAACATGGCTCCCCGTAGTTCATTTTGGATGGGAAAAAAGGAAAATATAAACATGGCAAGCAAGACCTTGGACCTATATCAAATACCATGGTTTTCAATTTCATGGTGTCTTTAATTTATCTTTGATTGAAAAATACGTAGCAATATCAAATTTTACAAAAAAATAAGACTGAGAATTTCGCAATAGCATCGATTACAAAATATATCAGGCCTTTTTTTTTTACAAAAGAATGAAGTTTTTACGACTGTAGACTTTCCTTATATTTTAAACTAGTTCGGAGCTTTGAAGCGGGAATCTGAAGAAAACAAATTGAAGCATAGGGTTATATTGCAAGAAACATTCACTTTAATACATCTATTTGATACACTCTGTTTTCAATAATTATGTTTTGGTATTTTTGGTATTTATTGTTACAGTGTCGGCCTAATTAATTAAATCCGGGGAGTAAAACTAACCGATAACGTACACAGATACTACTAGTACAGGGCCCTTATTCACGAAAACTTGAACTAAGTTACAACCGAAATTTTAAGAAATACTGCAACTTCATTGGATATATGCAAATTGATTTTACTGGTCAGCCAATCGAATTGCAGTATTTCTTAAAATTTCGATTGTATCTTAGTTTAAGTTTTCGTGGTAGTTTTTGCTGCGTGCCGTTTTGCAGTAATCAGAGTGGCGGTGATAAAATCAAAAGGAGGTACTACAGGTTTCCCCAACAGAGAAGTAAGCAGGTCAAGATGTGGCTTGCTGCCATAAGACGGGATGATTTTGAGTATAAAGATTGGCATCGGATTTGTTCCGATCATTTCAAGAATGGTAATATATTTTGCATAATTTAATAATTCTTATAGCCAAAGTATTTTTCATTTGGCAAATAATCTAGAGATACTAAACCCTTCTATGTAAGCAACTTAGGCCCAATCTATAATATCTATCAATTAGTCCCCTGCATCGTCTCAATTTTTAGCACTGACTATCGACCTAAGAGTTAGGCCTAGCCCTAGCTCTAGACGTCATAGAGTCACAAATTTGCATGCAATCTAATTTGAATGAACTACAATATGTGTAGTCTGATCAATGCAAATCAAAACAGCCCTTTTCAATGACTGTCAACTCATTTTGAATTCTAAACAATTTTATTTTACGAATTCAAACAATTTTATTTCACAAATCAAACAATTTTATTTCATGCATTCAAACATAAATCCAAACCATTTTCTTTTGAAAATTCAAACAATTTATAACCCATAAATAAACAGGTTTTTTGGGGTTTTTTTTGTAAAAATTCAACAATTTTTAAATTATGAACACATGTAGTAGTAGTAGTAGTAGTAGTACAAAATATTAAATGGTTCTGATTCCATTCACAATAATCAATAAATAAATGAATAGACTTATTGTAAATTCAATTCAACAGTTTTTTTTAATTACGAAGAAATTTAGAAAGAAAAAGTTTTGATTACATTCACAAATGATAATCAATCAATAGATAAATAGGCCTATTGTAAATTCAACAATTAATAAATTAGGCCTACAAAGAAATGTAGATATAAATAGTTCTGATTCCATTGACAAATTATAATCAATAAATAAATAAATAGGTTTATTGTAAAGTTAATACAACAATATGTACAATGATTAACAATAATAATAAATAAATATGGATCTTTACTATTTTTAATATTCTTTTTTGGTTCGGCAAGTAGAATATAAAATCTAATATAGATTATCTTTATTTCCTGGGTATCTGCACATGATAAATATGATGATATTATCATATTGATAATGGTATTATATTATATTATTTTCTGCCTCTTTAGTAACATAGGACAATAATTTAACTTATTTTCTTTCAGGTATAAAAGGTCATTCTCCTAGAGATGCTGGATATGTCCCTACTTTATTTCCATTTCAAAAAAAGGTAAATAAACGACAAAGCAGGACTTTAGGTCAAACTGTTGTTATATCCCCACTTAAGCATACAAGTGCAACGACAACGTGCAAAAAGAAATTAGAGAAACCTCTTAATTTGGATCATGCTGCAGTTCAAAGCTCAACTATGATAATAAACAATCATGACTATCTTGAAATTGAAACAGAAAACTGTAAGGAAATACAAAAATATCTACCAGAAATAACTGAAAAAATGAAACAACTTGAAGATGCTGTTCAGGACAATGAGATTTTTAGGAGTAAAATTTTAGATCTTGAAAAAATTATGGAAAATCTGAAGCAAATTCAATTCTGGACTGGTTTTCCTATTTATGCTACTCTCTTTGCTTTATTTACATTTTTAAAACCACGTGCAAGGAACATGAAGTATTGGAGAGGTAGTGCCTTGTCTAATAATGAACACTTTTCAAAATCACATCACAATAAACCTGGTCCACAAAAAAACCTGAAATTGATGGATGAATTTTTTCTAACTTTAATACGAATGAATAAAAGTTGGACTTTTAACTGAAGATTTATCAGATAGGTTTGGTATTTCTTCGGCAATACTATATACCGGAAAACACCATTTTATACTGAATACCATAAAACACCGGAAAAACAATAAATACCGGAAAATACCCTAAATAGGTAACCCAGAGACTAGCACCCGAAATAGGTAACCAGGAGCCTGGTCCTCTGTGTGCCTGGGTTAGGGTTAGGGTTAGGGTTTCTTTCCGGTTTATAGTATAGCCCTCCTCCGGGTTACCTATTTAGGGTGGTTTCCGGTATTTAGTGTGTTTTCCGGTATTTAGTGTTTTTCCGGTATTCAGTATAACATGGTGTTTTCCGGTATATAGTATAGCCCGTATTTCTTTGGGAACAGTTTCATCAATATTTACAACTTGGATTCATTTATTATATTCAGATTTAAAACTTATTTGCGAATTACCATCAAATAAGGTCACACGTGAAAACCAGTCACATGCTATTGGTTCTTTTAATGATGTACAAGTTATCCTTGATTGCACAGAACTTTTTATTCAAAATCCAACCAAGTTAGATGTAAAAAAACAATTTTCTTCAAATTATAAGCATCGTATGACATATAAATTTTTGATTGGCATTTCACCACAATTAGGAACAAGATGACTTGTCATCAACATCCCGCGCCCTTGCCCTTATTTGGAAGAAATAAGGAAAAATAACTTGTTTATGCTACTGGTAATCAATATAAAAATGTATCAGATTTCGCAAACAGTGTCACTGGTCCTAATATTGTGGCCCTGTTTAGTAGATATTGCTCTCTATTTCTGAAAACTAATGACTGATTGCTATTTACTAGAAGATTTGAGATAATTTATGACATTATG